CTGATGAGTTAATTGGGAGCGATCAATGAATGATTCCGTCATTGAGTTTGTCTCTTTCTTCTTTTTTTATTGCTTCGTCATACCTCATGAACTAATCTCTTTTTTTTTTATAAGACGAACCCTAGGAATGATATACTAATTTGATTATATTAATATAGATTTTGATGTTTTATTTTCCTATGATCTATCTCTATTTTATCTTGTGAGTTCTCAATTGATGCTAACCTTTTTGATTGATTGTATTTCATGCGTATGATAAGGAGGGTATCCTCATTTGCAGGATAGAACACTTAGGGAGAGAAGGGACGTATCAGTCTTCCAGGATATGGAGGATGAAGGACCTCTTTATTAGGTTGAAATCTAATATGGGAATTCACAATATGTTTAATGCTTCCATAAATTGATTATATGTTAAAGATAACTTATGGGGTTGTACATCGAGCTTTACATTTATAAACTCGATTGTCGACAATACTAAATACCAAAATCTAGGACAAGTGCATCCTAGATGGGAGAAGTAGTATAGTGGTGACCAATGTTGTATTCCAAGAGTCACGGTATCCTAGGATACTTTGGCTTAGTTGTTATCTAGTCGACATGTTACTTAGCAGGTGGGCAGTTGGCGATTACTAAACTAGAGGTCAATAAAGTAGAAGAAATATCCGGGGAATCTCCCACGCATTAACTTCATGAATTACATGCAAAAGGATAAAAGAAAGACTTATTGTGATCGGGGCAAGGAGATCGCTAATCTAGGGATTGGCTCATTGGTCATGCAACCAATGCCACTCCTACGCGATTTACTAGCCCAATGTCACCTCATCTAGCTTCACGTTGTAGGGACACAACCTATCTACTCTAAATGGGTTATACCCATCCGTACACTAGACTGTCGAGTCGATGGTCACGCACTCGACTTTCTTGCATTGTCTAGGTTGACGTCTAATAGGCAGGGGTACGGTCACCTCGCCCACCATACAAGACATCTAGATCATTCATCTACTCCTAACAAACTAAGCCGCTCTAATCCACTCTAATTCATGAACTCTTAAGTAGTAGGCTACTATAAAAAGAATTGGAGAGACAAGCTCAAGCATAATTAATCATAGATGAAGCATAAAACTCAATGAAAACTCACTTCATCAATAAATCACTAGAAAGAGAATGAATAATCAGCTAACACATAAGTTGCAACTATGGCAAATGGGATACAGACAATTCCACACTACTTGATGTAAAGAAAGACAATCATCAAATAGACATAGGTAAATAGGTTCGTAGTCATTCATAAATCTAGTCTAAAACATCCTATTACATATTAACACTAGGTAGGGTTTGGGGGACAAAGCCCCAAAGTACCTTGAGAAATTACCCCATGAAGATAGGGAGAAGAGACATGCAAAGATGGGAAGAAATCATGAAGAAGGGTCTTCAAGTGCTGGAAATCCTCCTCCGCATCTTCTACTTCTCTCTCTAACCTCACTCTAGAACAAGAAATATACTAAAAGCCAATGTATTCAAGGCGGGAGAGCAGGAGACCCCAATTTTTAGAATTCTGGAAATGCAGGCATGGTCGCGAGCGAAGGGTACAAGATCTTGGCTGTGAACATCCTTTAGAGGCCATGATCTTCGAACAACGTTGCACTAGCTGCATTGAGAAGGGAGATCGCAGCTTCTCCCTCCAAATCGTGCTCGAGATCTCTGACTAGAGCCCGCAATCTTCTGTTGGACTTCGTAGTCTCCTTGATCCCGACCGTGATCTTTTCTCCTTCAGCCGAGAACTCCATTTTGGCCCCCTTTTTTATACTTGTGGACCCTTTTCGTTCCTAAAAATGCATGTATCATCTAATACACCCTAAATATAGTTTCTAAATAACATCATTTTGGGTGTTATCAACTCCCCCACACTTAGGTGTGTGCTCTTCCCCAAGTAAACCTACTCAAACTAGTACAACTTGGTGAAAAATCAACATGGTATGCATTATAGTTCATCGTTGCACTAGTTAGAATAGTCGGGGGTCAAGTGAACGTTATTCCCATCTCATTGTGAAAATACAAACTCCTGGATGAGGACCATGTCGACTAAAGAGGTTTATACATTCAAGGTGTTCACCGGGGATTGTAAAAAATAATAGGAAAACAATGGATCACTCGAAGGTGCTCTTTATTCTTTCTTTTCTAGGTAGGAGTCAATTTTTTATTCTTCTTTTTTAATACATTGCCGAACTTGGCACCAAACATTTACAATTTTTCAAATAGGAATCTCGCCCTCGGGCTAAGAGCAAAAGTACATTTCCTTCTCTATCAAAGCCTAATGTGGTGAATTAAGGGTTGTGTTCATTGCCACAAGCATCACGTCCCAACCTGCACTCCTCATCTCTGCGACAGACGGGTTACCACACATGTGGGTACCAACAAGATCTGGAGGTCTCTTTGACTTTCTTAAAGGTACACTTTCTCCTTATCATATAAGTCTGTTAGGAGGAGTGGTGTTTGGGGGATGGAAAGTAGTAAATGATGATAGGGACGCTAAAAAACTATCTGGTCTCCAAACACATCCTCAAATGGCACTCCTGACCAAGAGAAAAGCCATTTAATGGGTTAACTCAAACACTATTCTCGGTTGCCTCTCACGTAAGAACCTCATTTCCAAATAGATTTTTTTCTTCAAATTGAGCACATTTTGCAAACGTTTTTAGTCCAAAATTGGGGACAGAGTCCCACACACATGTCTTACACTAAGTAGCAAACATAGCAGCAAATAGTAAGATAGGAGTAAAACGCCTCATACACATACAACTCTTGTAAATGCACCCTGATCATGATTAAGGGAATAAGAAAATAATTTAAGTTTGAATTGGATTTTTTTTTTAATTTGGGTGCTGACATGGCAGTGAGCTGGACCTATGACTGTTAGTAAATGTCGTTGACTGTCCATATTGATGGTCAAACCACGCGTACGGTCAATTTAGTCTATATGGTGTATAGTTGAAGCCATAATAGCAATTTCTGAAATCACGGGTCAAAGTTGATTATTAATGTATAGTTCGGACCATAATAAGGTATTAACCCTTATTACTATGTCGGCAAACAGTATGGTGTTCATCCTTTAAATTGTTAAAATATTTTAATAATTGGGTTCTCTTATTCCTCAAATATTTGAATGTTTAGAGTATTTGAAGAATTATTTTTTTTATACCACTACGTACTCGAATAGAAACTTTCACTATTATTTACGTGATTGACAACTAAACCCGGCCAACTGGCCAGACCAGTCACTAGTGTTAAGTTAAGTTTTTATTTGGTTTGTTGTATTTAACGCTTGAATTGAAAACTAACGATCAGTTGTGAAGGAAAGAAAATAGTGAGCGCAAATTTACTATTTGTTTTAATATTTAATTAGACTTGAACTCGTTTGCATAGTATCCTTCTTGCCTCCCCACTTTCTATTAACACAAATTCATCATTTTAATAATTTATGTAGAACGTTTAATATTTTATTAACTATAGTTTTCCCCATCACTTCCTCTCACCGACTCTCCATCATTTGGATGGTTATGTCTGTCATTCCTTCCAATCACTTTTCTTTTTTAGTTCATATCTAGCCTCATTAGCTCAAGTTGTTATCTTTTGTTGTTCAATAAGAGATTAATCTTTCTCTATGGGTCATTTTTTTATTTGAACACTTCTTTTAGCTGTGATTAGTTTCGTTGATGCATGAACTGATGAACCTCTATATTCTTTGCATCTCATATATCACTTGAAACTTCTTCTCCGGGCACATGCACTATGACCTATGCTTCTTATACCATAGACTATGTTGCTCTTCTACATCTCATATCGATTGTTTGACATTAGTTGTGCCTCTTTTCATTGACTGTGTAATTTATCGATTCATTTAGTTATGAACTTGTATTTTGGGGCAAAACGTCGATAATATCTAGCCATGGATAGCAAGTTGCATATGCTTCGAGAAAAAACTCAGATGTAGTTGGATTGCGAATTATTAATGCAAGTGGCAAAGCTGTAATAAGTATAACTTTTTTTGGACTGTTGTCGAGATTTTGGACACGTATTATCCCCTAGTGCTTTCTCAACTAAAAAACTTAGCTTCTATATATAGAAGAATAAAGGTCATTTATCTCGTTGTTAGGGACTAGTTTTGACAGAGCATCCGGTGACTAGGGGTGTTAGTCAAATAGTCATTTGATTAAGTTCCTCCCAGTCTTTAGATCTAGACACATTAATTTGATGGTTAAAAAGTGGGAAGGATTATTTAATTATTATAGGGATAATTTGGGTATTATGGAAAATTACGAAGTATACAAACCGGACTTACAATCAGTACAAACCATACAAACATATGAACAATACAAAATAGAGCGACAAAACATATATACAAACATATTTACAAACATTACAAACATATGAACTGTACAAAAAATACAAACTAGACAGACAAACAATACAAACCATACAAAAAGAAAAAACAACCGGGTTGACTTTGGAGGCTCCATCCCTTTATAGAGGGGCTCCTTCCCAAACTCAACCCGGGTGTTTTTTAGACATATAAACATTACAAACATGATGGACAAAAATGACAAACTAGACCAAAAATTCATACAAACTAGAAAAACACCCGGGTTGACTTTGGAGGCTTCATCCCTATATAGAGGGTTCCGTCTCAAAGTCAACCCGGTTGTTTTTTAGACATACAAACATTACGAACATGGTGGAAAAAAATGACAAACTACACCGACAATCCATACAAACTGGAAAAAAACACCCGGGTTGACTTTGGAGGCTCCATCCCTATATAGAGGAGTTCCATCCAAAAGTCAACCAGGTTATTTTGTAGACATAAAAAACATTACAAACATGGTTGACAAAAATGATAAACATGGTGCACAAAAATAACAAAGTTTACAAACATTACAAAAAAACCCGACAAACATTACAAAATAACAAAGCATATAAATACTACAAAATAAACCGACAAACAGTACAAAGCATACTAACCGTACAAAATGTCACTAAAAATGACAAACAATACAAACCGAATCTATACAAACATTACAAAATAGGTTCTCTCTCTAATAATTCCCCAAGATGGCCACGGTGGATCATGGAAAAATGCCTAGCCTCTCCCCCTCTCTCTCTCTCCCTCTCCCTCTCTCTCTCTCTCTGGGGAATAATTCCCCAGGATGGCCACGCTGGGATAATGGAAAAATGCCCAGCCGCATCGGAGCCTCCGTCGGGAGAATGACCACCGGAAAAAACATGCCGCCGGAGAAAAGGACCAGCCGCGTCGGAGCCTCCGTCGAGAGAATGGCCACCGGGAAAAACCATGCCGCCGGAGAAAAGAATCGACTGTCGGAGTGGGTGCCGCAGCAGTGAGTGGCGGCTTTTTTGGTTAATTTTAATTATTAAATAAAAATTAAATAATATTGAAATTACTTCATTGTCTTTCATTAAATTGGATTAATTGGAGCCATTAAATTTTAATGAGGTGGAAGGGTTGAGATCGACTTAGGCAAGTGACTAAGGGACCCCCTAGTCACCTGATCTTACCCAACTAGTTTTGAACTCTTCTTCACTGGTCTAAAGGAGACGTCTTTGGAAATAAGGTTAAACTGTGATATTATATATTTTTTTTTAAAGCAATTGCAGAATTGTAATCTATACAATAAATAAAAGCCAAATGAGAAAACTTGAAGCCCCATTTCAAATTTCCTGCATCCAGAGTGAAAGTAGGAAGGATAGATTCGTCTGCACAATCACTTATTATTTTCTTATTTACAAAAAAAAAAATACATGAAGCCCCATTTCAAATTTCCTGCATCCACAGTGAAAGTAGGAAGGATAGATTCGTCTGCACAATCACTTATTATTTTCTTATTTACAAAAAAATACATCAGTAATGAGATTTGAACTGTGGTCTCTTTAAACAAAGATAAGAACATAACCAGTTACAATAAACACATTTGTGTGATCTTTTTCAATTAAAAACATACATGAAGCTTAAATATGAAAAATATAGGACTTTTCCACCAAGATTAGCAACCGAAATGTCATTGATTCAAACATTGCATATCGAATTGCACTCTTGAATTTGTAGAAGCGATGTAGAATTTTTAACATAGACTTAATCGTTATAACTATCATAAAGTAACCGTATTTTTAACACATAACTTTTGAGTGAATATGGGGCACATGTGTCTTCAAGAGAGGGGTAAATATGGAAATGTTGAGTGATGTTGGTTTGCTGAACGTGGATGGAAAAAACACTACTAATGTAAATAGACCCAAATAGTTTCCCGACCCACTAAACGCTCAACCATCGTCGTCTCACCAAACTTCTCATCAGACTCAATAACCGGCTAACCTCCTCTACCTCTATTATTAAGCCAAAGCAATTTTTGGAGGGATAAATAAGGAAAGATTGAGTGTTGTTGGTTTGCCCAACGCAAATGGAAAAGGTGTTACTAATCTAAACGGGCCCAAATAGTGACTGACCAACTAAACACTCAACCACCGGGTTACTTTCGCTACACCTAATATAAGAGTGAAATGGGAAAGGTGCTTCCCCCATTACAAAATCCTTGCATCCATAGCAAAAGTAGAAAGGGTAGATTCGTCTTCACAATCATTTATTATTTTCTAATTTATGAAAAAATACATAAGTGATGGGATTTGAATTGTGATCTCTTTGAGAAAAGACAAGAAACATAACCAGTTACACTAAACTAATTTGTTTAAAAATTTTAAATTAAAAACATACATAAAGCTTAAATATGAAAAATCATTGGAATTTTCCATCACAGTTAGCTAAGCCACTAACTCTCCCCTAAATATTTTTTTGGTATTTGATACTTCTATTTTCATACTTTGATTATTTTAATTTGAGTTTAGTAATTAATTCTATTTCTATTTATTTTATAAAAGTAGAATAATTTGATAATTGCAAGCCTAATGTTATTGGTGAAAATATTGCACATCGAATTGCAGTATTGAATGTGTAGAAGCGATACATAATTTTTGACATAGCTTAAATAATATAACTACCATAAATCAAAAATATTTTTGAACATAGAAGTTTTGAGTGAATATGTGGCACATGTGTTTTTAAGAGGGGTAAATATGGAAAGGTTGAGTGATGTTAATTTGTCGAATGCGGATTGGAAAGCCGCAACTAATGTAAATAGGTCTAAATGGTGTCCCGACCTGCATACTAAACGCTCAACCATCGCCGTTTCTCCAAACCTTCCCACCAGACTCGACAACCGCCTAACCTCCTCCACCTATATTGTTACGCAAAGAAATTTTCGGATGGGTAAATATGGAAAGATTGAGTGTTCTTGCTTGGAGAGCTGACTGGTGGGTTATTTAGTTTCTTTGACAGTAATGTGTAATCTCTTAACATCAGTTCATTTCGGTTGATCTTCTAGGTTGACTTTTGAGTTGATTAAAGATAAATAGTGTCCCGGGCTTCCGTCCTACTAAAGGCTCAACCATCACCGCCTGTCCAAACCTTCCAATCGGACTCGACAACCGCCTAACCTCCTCCACCTATATTGTTATGCAAAGCAATTTTTGGAGGGGTAAATATGTAAAGGTTGAGTGTTCTTGCTTGGAGAGCTTAATTATGGGTTATTTAGTTTCTTTGATAGTAATATATGAACTCTTAACATCAGTTCATTTGGTTGATCTTCTATTTTGACTTTTGAGTTGATTAAAGATAAATAACTATACTTTTTGTTGCTTTGTTATGATACTCCTTTTCAGTATCATCATTTTTCTGATTTGAAATGTTTTGTTGGTTAGTTTCCGGTAAACAAAGACTATTCTTATTAGTGTTAACATAGGGAATAGCTTTAATCATACCACTTTTCCACAAAATCTATATGTAAGAGCTGAGATCATTGTTGAATTGAACTATTCAAGCTATAATGCTGATCTTTAACATATAAAACATAGTTTCTGTTGAGTGAAATAACCTCATGATTGCATATATTTTTTTACAATATGATGTTTTGTGATAGTGGTCACTTGCTTCCAGATTTAAAAGCGGGGTTCTAGTTATTACAATCTACACATAATAGAATAGCAGGAAGGAAAAAACCCTTCCCCCATTTCCTGCTCCAGGAGCGTTTGTAGGAAGGGTATAATAGTGAGTGTCAATTTTACTCTCTTTCCTCTATGGAACGGGCCAACTTACCGTACATGTGCGGACTTGAACGGACCCGGGGATTGTTGCGGCCCACAAAAACAGAATAGGTTTCAGCTACGGCCGCATCCGTTTCGTGCCTCCATAGCGATCACCGTAACCGAGTCTTGGATTGTTTCGATGTTGGATTTGAACTCCACTGACACCGGGAATAAATGAAATAATTAGAGAAAGAGAGCTTCATAATTGTTTACAAAATAATTTTCCCAATCCTTCTTCCGTGTGCTAATCGCCTAATCCATTCCCTATGAGAAGAAATTCAAGCATACTAAAATGATCCAGTCATGCTCATGAAGAAGGGTGGTAAATTGCATGCAAGTAAAATTTAAAGATTGAGTCATCTAATCAAATTGTAATCAACCACCCCTTTTCATCATTCGTAAACTCTAACAGATAAGTGACAAATAAATCCACAATATCGCTTCACTGTAATAATACAGTATTTATTGAAGATTGGTGGCTTTCTCTTCTTCTTGGTTAAACTAGCGTCGAAGATAGACAAGTAGGGGGTTTAAACAACTGATAAGCGAAGGGAAGATTAAGAAATGAAAAACAGAGACCAAGAGGGGGAGTTGAAATTGAGGTTCGGGGGGAGGATGACATGCAGGGAAAAGGTTGGCAGAGCTAAAATTAACAGCAGGAAAACGAGGATGGGGAGAAGTGACTACCGGCGGCGATATAATTGAGATCGAGAGAGAGAAGTGAACCATGTGCCGGTGAGCACTGAGAAGCTTTTTCTAGGGATATAGGGTTTTCTTTAATCCCTTTTATTTCTCGGTGTTGGTAAGATATATATGAAATGTCAAAAACAATACTCCTTTTGTATTGCTAAAAAAAACTTTAACAATAAAACAATGCATGAATTCTAATGGGCTAACCGCTAACCATAGAATAAAAGAGTTGAATGGGCCTGACCCATACGGGATTTGACCATCAAGTAAAACAAATGAACATCATGGGTTTGTCATCCTAAAATAAGCTATTTTCTCGAGCATACATATAGTATGCTTTTATTTTATATCTTAGTATTTTAAAGTTATTAAATGGTTCTTCCTCGATCAACCAGATTAGTCTAATTTTTATAATTTCAAATATATATTATGTAATTATTTGATATCCTGATGATTAAATAATAGTGTATTTTATAGGAAATTTTTTATTCGGTTTTCTAGAATTCGGTTTTCTATAAAACTTACTCCACCTCATCATATTACCAAAAATAATACAGTTTCACAAGGTAACATGTACTCAAACTTGGTTCATAAGACTAATTTTTGATTCGTTGCATCATCCATGTCGCTTTCCTGTTAAAATTCACTATCTTTATAACGTTTTCCCAAAAAATATATACAACGAAAAGCTCTACACCCCATTACATTCTCAAATTTCATACCTCAGCTTTCTTCGGCCAAATGGCCGGGTCTCACGCTAATTTTGATAAAAAAAATCAAATATGAGCTATTGGATATTTATGCTCCTTTCTTTGTTCAATAATGTTTTCCTTCCCCTTTCCAACGAAAAGTAAAGGCACGAAATGACAAAATGGTCATTAGATAGGATGATCCTTGGACCGTGTTTAATTAATTGATAACTATGGGTTTTTTTTAATAGGTATTGATTTGTGATGGTAACTTAAAATAATCAGCATCATTATAGCGGGTAATAGTTGCTAAGGGTCACATAGCTTAACTGGTAAAACTCTCAAGTAACTCTCGATCGGAAAGTGTGAGGTCTCGTGTTCGACTCACTTCGAGGCATAAATTTGATTTAGATGTACAATTTCAGAATCGTCATATATATCTACAACGTACGGACGGACAAATAAACTAGTATTGATTATAGAGAAAGAATTGCACCGTAACAAACAAATAACAAAGAATTGCAGTCACAGCAACGCTTACAGACCGTTTGGTACCAAATGAATCGAAAATTCATTTCATTGTAAAATGAATTACCGTGTAGAATTAATTGTCAAATGAAATCTTGTGTTTGGTATCTCATATTCAAATCTTTATAAATAAAAAGAATTGTAATGTACAAATCATTGTCAACTGAATTCCTATATTTGGTATGTCATATGTATAAGTAATTTAATTAATAAAAAATAATAATTATGTCATTCTATAATAATTATTAAATTCTTGTGGAATTCATTTGGAAATTCTATCTCAATTCCTTGGGATTGCTATAACTAGTTTCAATTCCATAGAATTAAAAATTTAGAATTGGAAATGAATTCTTTTAAATATCAAACATAAAAATGTATCATTTCAAAACAAATTCCTCAAAACTTATGGAATTCATTTATACCAAACGGTATATTAGCCAATTTATCACTACGATGAATAATATCAAAGCTCAGGAACTTTCATGGTCCATTACTTAAGTAAACCTACACAACCGATACAAGACTG